TTTTTTTTTTTTTTTGTATAATTAGGAGCTGCTGGGAATGGGAAAGTAAAATGAGAAGCATCATTGCATTGATCATCTTCGTTTTGGGTTGTTACTACTTTGAGCCTTACATGTTTCCTGCAGCGGCACTTCTTATCCTTTTAAAATATTATCTGGTATGTAAATAAACTAATTAGAAAGATTGTTTTTATTTTACCTTATCAAAGTATTTTTCTGAGATACTCATCACTATGGATTGTTGAGATTAACACTTACCTTATACTTATCTATCCATTACGATTGCTAATCTTAAGTGCCTGCAAAAGTCTAACATCTCACAATTTTTATTTCGTAAATTTTTACCTAACGATAATATTTACAATATTCAATTCTAATTAGACAGTCTGTAGAATTAGAATTTTAATCGCATTCAATAAGGTAATCCCCTGTACATTGGCTATTCCTCTATTCTTGTTAGTGCTACTTAATACAAAATTACTGTTTCCCTTCTTGAGCTAAATGAAATTGAAGTTACATAGGTATGTGACCAGCATGAGCATAGAGTTTAGTTGGCCTAAAGACCTTTTTGAATATTTTTATAAATTTATCAAATATTCTAATATTTAGCACAGTATTATCTAATAATGACATTTTAAGACTTACGTTTGTAAATTTAAAAAAAAATGCCTTGTATAGTTTTAGATCAATTTTCATCACGTTTCTCCCATTTAGTATGTAATATTGATCACTATTGTTACATATTCTCAATGCTTGCTTATAAATAATAGACGCCAATAACCAATCAACCCTAAATACATGTAAGACAACATGTATATAAATCATCTGCTTGACAACCTTTGCCTGCATTGCTGCATGTCCCTTGCTACCTGCCAGCTTTACGGAGATGGAAGTGGGTTCAATCAATGGATTTCCGGACAGGTTGCAATGATTACCGGTACGCCTTTATCCCATCATTCGAGTTCCCATTTCCACGACGAGGGTGATGAAGGCCCAGCCACTCCTGGAGATGACGACGACGACGACGATGACAAGGACAAAGTAAGTATTTTTTTAACAATTGTGATTTAAATTATTATATATATTAGCTTTACAAAAATTTATGTATTGAAAATGTTTTTTTTTTTTTTTATAATTTTTTAAAATTTTTACTCGTAATTTTCTGTCCATTTTGAAGTCGAGAATTTTAAATTATTTTAAGTTGGGATTATTTTAAGTTGTTCCAACAGAGCAATTAAATTACTATAATGGTATTGATAGTATGTTTTACGTTACGATAACTGATGGGTGGTTTTTCTATATTCTGCAATTAATATATCGTGTATTGTGAACATGTTGAAAATTCATTTATGAAAAAGTTGAAAATTTACTTTTCTTTTCAAAATTGATTTTCTCTCGAAGTGAGATCGATGAAGAAAAACTATTTTCATATTTATACTCAGCATAATAATTTACGCAAATCATTGTTGCTCAATTTGTGGTATTGTTCTGGAACAATATAAGTTTATAATAGATGTTTAGTTGCCATTAGCTGAAGACTCCTTTCAATGAATATTACATTTAGATGTTTGTCACGAACACGACAGGCATGTATTTTGGTCTAGTGCTTCCCTCGATTTACTCTTCGATCTATTCAAACGACAAATTGATTTACCTACCTGTATTGGTCAAGCCGAGGTCAACCACATTAAAAATCGATCTCTGAATATATCGTAACATTTGTTTCAAAACTAAATTTTACCTTTTCAATTATAAAATGTTCACTCATAATTTGATCTTCTACTTTTAAATTGAATTAACTTTTAATTTTTTATTTTTAACTTTTTAATTGATTATTTGATCTTAAATTGAAGATAAAGAAATAATTATTAAAAAAGTTCATAATTACCTTGTTTCCTCTATTATTTATTATTTATCTATTTCGTGTTTTTGTCTTATTTTAAAGAATATAGTAATTAACAATATTGATCTTTTTCTTATTGTTACTCTTTTTTAGAAAGAAATTCTCTTAATGAAAAATTAGAATCTAAATGTTGCTTCCTCGCCATATTTTCTTATTTCGAATAATTTTTCTTTTAATTTTTTTTTTTTTTTTTCGTCAGGAAGAGAAAAAAAGTCTGAAAGAGCGACTGCAAGCGATTCAAGAGGTGACCCAGACTGTTCAGAATTCAATCGGTTATATAGCCAGCCTCTGTGAAAGAGTGAAAAATCTTTTCAATTTCACTGTCCCCTATCTGAGTTACTTAGCCATGATCCTGACGATCCTCGGTGCCGCTGTTCTCTATTTTATTCCTTTAAGATACCTTATCCTGGCGTGGGGCGTCAATAAATTCTTCAGAAAAATTATCCGGCCTCACTCGGTTCCAAACAACGAGCTTCTTGATCTTATATCTAGAGTACCCGACGACGAGGAACTTCTTAATTACAGGTTCGTATAAAGTCACTTTGTAATAGTTTATTGATCAAAAGAATTGAAAGAAAATCTTGAAAAGAAAGAAAAAGAAAAAAAATGCATTGCATTGAAACAATTTTGCAAAGACAAGTGGTAATTCAAAACTTTCTACAAATTTTTCATCTTTATTGATAACAGTGATGAATATTTTATTGGCATAATAGTAATAATGTTAATAGTAATGAATAAAAGTATTTCTCACTACTCTTCTGCGTACATTATTATTCATTACACATACTATAATTCTTCAGAGAGTTAAAACCATTACCGACTGCTGACTGCGAGAAGGCTTCCACTTCGGGCAGTCCAGGCACGTCGAATTTAACGCGGAGAGAGCAGAGGAAGAGGCAGAAGGCCGCGTAGCAGCATGCCCCGCGGCAAGAAGTCGCGGGTCTACGATCACCGAGCATCCTCAGGACGGTCCTGCTGCGCCGGAAGATGCGCCAGCGAAAGGGATCAGCGGAGAATCCAGATGTGATCGACATAGACTGAGAAACGTTCCGTTTCCACTCGTAGTCGTTAAGCTAGGGGGGGATTTTCATCATTCTAGTTCCCAGTCTTTTCTGGTCGTGTTTTTAGAAACACCGTGCGTGGTATGTCTTCGAAGTCTAAAATGTTTTTATTCTCTCAGTGAGGATATATAGGGTTCATTCATTCCACGTCGTATTATTAAGAGAAATAGTCAAATAGTCAGGGAGAGAAAGAGAGAGAGAGGATTAAAAAGATCAATCACCAGATGGTCGAGTTCATTGCGAGAAGCAAAAATGTAATTCTAACTGCAGTATTCAAAAAAGTCTTTCTAGTGTAAAATATTCGAAGTTTTAACTATATACAATAATTAATTACACGTATCGATATGATATAAAAGGTCGTAGAAACGTTTAGCGAATGTTTGCTTAAGCATCTACCAATGTTTATCAAGCGGTTGTTCTACATTGCTACGTTGTCGACGAAATCTCTGGGACATACCACGCAAAATTGTTACTAGATATTATTTCGATTCGATAGTTGGAATGAATCGACGCAGAATTGTACATCGAGAATTTCGTGAAAAGAGAAGCAGACGATGGTTTTTCATCTATATAATATATTCGAAATGTGGTAGGAAGGCACATTATTAGTAGTTGTACCGAATGACTCGGCTATTATGGTGTTGATGAATCTGCGTGGAATGATTCGTCGATAGGGAAGTGAAGTGATATAATTTCTCAGTAACATTATTAAAAACACTAATAACGTGTTGAATTCTATTCTGGATATATATCTATAATAGAGAACTGAGAAGTTGGCAGTCAGAACACGTTACATTAGCTACGCAATGATCGTTTGGTTTTTGTTTTTAATTTCTCCATTGGACTTAATTCGTCGATTTAGAGCTAATCAAGGTCGACTGCCATCTTCTCAGCTTCCAATAGTATTTTCTTTGAAATTAAAAAAAAAAAAAAAAAAAGAAAGAAAATCTCGTAAATTCGAATAAACTGAATAGAGTAGAGTAGCGTCGAGAAAGTAAACAAGTGTAACAAATCATCGTTTGATTTCCCAGTTTGAGAAAGAATGAAGGAAAACACGAACAGACAAACGCTTTTTGAAAGTATATACATCTCGCTCGAACGGAAGGGACTGCGTTTCGAGCAAACGCTTATTAGCTAACGATATATGAGGGAGAAGAGATACCATAGTTATTTAAAGAAGAGAAATAGCAAGAATACGCGAGAATAATTCCCGCCTACGGGTTATCCTCGTCGATCCGTTTCGTCCATCGGTGTCGTAGATATAGCTGCTACAGAATCGTTACCACTGAGAGAGATATTTAAAAGAAAAAAATATAAAAAAAAAAAAAGAAAAAAAAGATACAAAGAAAGAAAAAAGACAATTATAGTTATTCCGCGATGGTCTCGTTTAGACAAAGAAATCCGCTCGAACGAGCTGTTTCTTCCATTTCAAGAACGACGAATAGGATAATCGTTTACTTGGCGTTCATCTGTCTAAATTTTATCCTATATAATGATTTATCGAGTTTCATCGATATAGTCTGTTTATTTATTTTCCAATATTGGCATTTCTGTAATTTTTAATTTTTTTCTTACTATTATTCAAAAATCGCCGATTGCCTGTTCGTCGTTCGTGAGATCAAATATTATTTCATATTTTACTGTTGAGACACCTTCAAAAGTGTCCCAGTGTTATTCTCTTTGAATACTATTTAATATTATCGAATTCTTCGTTCCAACGCACACTGTCGCGCGTTCGTTTGCCTCCTCGAGCATGAATACAGTGAACTGT